ATACTAGAAAATTGACTTCACCCTATTCAGGCCCTTATCGTCAGATTGTGAATAAATTATCTGAAGTTAATTATGAAATCGACATGGGAAAATTTTCACACACGAAGAAACCAACTGAGATTGTACATGCGTCAAAATTAAGGTTCTATTATCCCACCCGAGAACTTTAAATTACATCATGAATATAAATCAAAATTTATAAATCAATAAACTATCCATAACCCTTCTTTTAGTTTTTATCCTGTTGTCATTTCCCTTAATAGTTGACTTTATCTCTCAGTGTCCTGAGAAAGTTTGTCTGCCCCTTTTCTTTTACTGCGGCTCCTTCAAACTTGAGTTTCAGGTTCAATGCACTTTCCGTGTGTGGAAAACACTCAATTGAGGCTATACTACAAGTAGAGTACTATACCCTCACATTTCCTTGAGCTCATGTTTTCATATGTTTGTGTTGTAAATTGTAGCAACATTTGAAAAAGTTAAATTTCAGTTGTTGAAACTTTCTGAATTTCATTTTATGTTTCTGCAGCATCGTGTACAAAAAACTGGTATAGGATGTTGGGAAGATTAAATTTTGTTTTGTTATCATTAATAAGAGTTAAAAATAAAAAGCGAGTGACAAAATATAGTTAAAAACCTAGCAAAATGTGTATTTTCAACAAGAGTATAAGAGCTCTAGTATCCTGACATAAAAACTCAAATGTTTCCAGTGCCAATGCTCAATCCAATAATTTCTAGCGCTAATTAAATGATCCGGAGATCTCCAAAGACCAATAAAAGACTGAAGATGAGCCTGAATGAATGACAACTCTAATGATTGTACGGACTCGATACACAAACTGTGAGTGGCATGCCCTAAGATATAAACTTACAAATTTTAGTTATATTACTATTTCCTATTGCCGCGTAGGTAACCAGCAATATGTTATCAGTGCTTTATTTGTTTTCTGCACTTAGTTACTATATTAATAATTTCATTAATTATTTATTATATTTTATATACTGTATTAATTATATTCAAATATTTTATGTCATACTTTATGTAAACATTTTGTGTGCCTTGAGGTAAATCCAATCAGTTTTCCTACTCACTTAATTTCCTAATAACTAAATTTTCTCACTATCTGGACTGTCTTGGGTCGACGGCCGCGACTGCAAGCATTTTCAGATGGGGGGGATAATTTGTAAGGATATTTTTTAAATCAATTGATTAAATTAAATTCTAATAATACTGCTTAATAATGTGTTGGCGATTCTCTACCTAAATTGCATCCCTGTTCCTAAATTTTGGCGAAATCCTTTCTTTAGTATAAAATATATTAACCTGTTGGCGCCCGCCAAATCGCCAAACTCATAAATCTGTCATATTACATAAAGTCCTTAAGAACACTCCTGATGAGAAGATAGCGTCACCTCGTGATTTCAATTAATATTGCTGATTGGATGAGCCTCGTGACGCACACATATGTATAAATAGGGCTTTTACTCAAGGTACGAAAACAACGCTTGTGATATGGATGCTAAAATAAACCTACCACTTTATATTCCAAAATTTGTCTCATTCCTGTTGCCCCGGCTGCACAAAACAAATAATGTATGAGAAATTACATTTCATATATATATATATACTTTCGATGCAACCGATTGCAACCAAAAAAGAGAGGTACACAAGTACGTTTTATAGCAATTCCACATACAAAATTTCAACGGTGTGAGGCTAACGAGATACATACATATGTACAGACATCCCGAAAAACTATCTTCTGAATCCATTTTAAATCCATTTTGGGAAAAAGAGTCCTTTATTCTTTCCCTACATAAAGACGTCACCCAAAAACATCGTTCAAATGGATTGGACAGGATATTTTCGTTGAGATAAGATACCCGAGATCTTTCGCGATTACAATACTTCTTTTACTTCGTTTAAGGAAGTAACAAGTTTTGAGTTAATTGCAAAAGTTGTCAACAATGTTCTTCATTATAATGAAACTTTTTGCTACATCTTAAAACGCTTTATAAACTAGAAGCATAATATTTTATTAAAAATTCGAATTTCAGACGGAAACAATATTAACTTTAAAAAATGAAAAAGCTTATTTTAATTGTTATTCTGAAATTAATTTTGTTTAGTATGAAATTCAGAAAAAGTTGCGCAATGTACAAGCCGGAAAATGTTCTAAAAAAATTAAGACGCCGTACAAAAGAATAATGCTTTTGAAAGCTGATTATGTTTATTTTTAAGAGGCAACAAGGATAAAACTAAAACGAAATGAGTAAAAAAATTGGAAGAAATATACCTGAGACAAGTTTCGCTGCTAAAGTGTGATAAGAGATCATTTAACTTCTAAAAATCAATTTTTCAATTTTGATTTAATGTGACTTCATTTTTTGAATGATTTTATAAGAACTTTCATGCGTATATTTTTAAGAATATTATTAAATATTTTTGTTAGACAAAATGATTTTAAGAAGAAAAAATGAATTTATGGTAGTGTTTTTTTTAAATTTAAGATTTTTGAAAAAAAAAAAAAAAAAAAGGAAGACGCAATTAATATATTTTTTTCTGCAGTTTTCGATGGTTTTGTCCCAATGTTCATTAGAATGTTCTTACTATCTTTAAGGATGGATTTTTGCAGTTAATGGATTTATGCCTGATGAATAAAGAAGCATGTTCATATATGGAAAATTTGGAAATATCATGATATTCATTACATTTCCATTTATAATATTTTCCCTTTTCAACACATTGCAAAAATCCCCCTTTCTTTCATTAAATAGATACTAAACATACAGTAAAAAAAAATTAGCAAATTTAATTCATATTTATGTAAGTTTCAGAACTTAATACAAATCCTTTCAATTAGAAGATTTATCGAAAAAGAGAAACTGAGAAAGCGTATTTTAAAATTTGATTGAAACATTTCCAGTTTTTTTAATATATTTTACTTAAAAGCTCAGTGTATATATATCTCTAAAGTTAAACTTATTATTAGCCAATTAGTAAATGTAAGGATAAGCTTTTCTTTAAAATCTTCTCTCTGTTGCCAAAACACCAAATGTCTCTGCTATGCCCTTGAACAATAACCGTGGCGTCATCAGCAAATGCCAGAGCTCGTGTGTGTGATGGAGCTTTAAGTATAGAATTGAAAGTAACATTCCAAAGGTCTGGATCAGCACATGATCCGAGTCTGCTTCCGAGTGATTATCCCTCCATTGTGGACCACAACGTAGGTGCGGTTGCTTAGGTAGCTGATGAAAACCTTCAGGAGATTATTAGGAATACGGGCTCTATTATGAGGGGCCACCACAAAGAATCGAATGAGCATTGTAAATCCAGACTAAGAACGGCTGCATGGCTTTTGTTGCTTTTAATTCATCTTACTTGATATTGAATAATGTCTAGGGCATTTAACGTAGGGCATTTTCCCGAAATCCAAACTGGGTCTCAGATATTGTGCCACTGATTTTAACAATCAGTTAAGGGATACTTCAAGCGCATTACCGCTATCTTTTCGTAAACCTTCCCCAGAGCCGGGAGAAGGCAGATCGGCCTGAACGAAGCAGGGTCATTTTGATCCTTACCAGGCTTTGAGAACAGAATAACCTGTTCCGTCTTAAAGGCTCTAGGGAAGTGTTGCAGATCTAAAAGTCTGCTGAAGTAATTGACCAGGAAGCTTGACTTGGCTTTATGGACAGCTCGGATGATGTTATAATCCAAAGAGTCCTGCCCCGAGCCCTTTCGCCTTGAAAGAATGTTAATCACCGCGTTTACTTCAGATGGCGTGAAGGGCACATCATTAGGCGTGTATCAGTGGACAAGCAATAGGCTGGATCTGATTGAAGGTCCAGTTCATCCTGCTGCTCTTCTGGAAATACTGCTTCCAAGATAGCTGTGAGTGTCGCTTCCATCGAATTGGAAGTGGAATTTGCTGAGTACACGTATTCCCTATGCTGGGCTGGTTTGAACACTTTATTAGATGCGATTTTATGTAAAGTACCATACACTTCCGTATTAGTGCAAAAATTACGCCAGTTTTCTAGTTTGGCCTTTAGTACATTTTTGTTATAGATAGCCAATGCCTGTTTGTAGGCAACACTTAGTGCCTGCCTTGTCTCTCCTGGTTGTGCTCAGCTTTCATTCTTCTCATCAAGGCCCTCGTTCGACTGCGCTGTGTTCTGAGGTCTTTCGACCACCAGTTCGGACGACGTAGCACTTTTGGAGTTCTTAGAAAGAAGATCCTATTGCACAGGTTCTGTAGGTTTGCGATTAGCTACGTTGTAAAATAGTCCAGCTTGGAAACTGTATGGCAGTCTTTTAATTCGCATTCCATTCGTGCAAGGTGGTTGGTGAATTTTAAGAGACTGCCTCTTTTCAGCTTATAACATTTTATTGAGAACTTGGCATGGTTATGGCCGATACTATAGGTGACGTACTTATAGTCGGAGACAGACGGGACATCTTGCACTGTCCATTTGGAAATTTTCGACGCCGTTGTGGCGGTTGAAATAGTAAGGTCTGGTCAGCCCTTCCCACGAATAGCTCGGAAGTCGGGGGACTATTTGGAATGTTTTGAAGGATCAGGTCATTACTTGCAATGAAGTCTTCGACTTCATATCCTCTTATATCCGTGTTAGAGTATCCCCACGTCTCGGCATGTGCTTTGTAATCTCCAGGCAGCAAATGTTGTGCTGAAGGATACCTTCTGAGTAATCCTTGCTGGATCTCTAGAGCTTCCATAATATCAGCTTTTGGCGGGATTTAAATGTTGGTAATATAAATACTGAGGGGTCTACAGTTTCTACAGCTATAGTGACAGTGTCTCTAGAGAGGAATATTATGTTGGGAACCCGTTTTTGCCGGCAGCAGATCGTTGCGACTCTTGGGTTCTCGTTGTCATCGGACTGTATGACCTTCCATGCTAATGGCAGTTCTGCTACCCTGTTTTGGCGACAGTAAGGTTCCTGAACCAAGATAAAGTCCACTTCACATTACATGGCATATCCTACGAGCTGAACAAGAAAATTAAACAGTAGAAATTTCACACACTTAGAAGTCGTTCACAAAAATTGGAAAGTTTAAACGAACCCAGCTGTGATCGTCGGTGACAGCGCATGCGCACTCACTGAACCCTACGTGATGTTCCCAAACTACGCAAGGAAACAAGAAAAAAATCGCATAACTCCGAACAGAGGAAATTTCCAGAAATGTATCAAAAACTAAGTATCGACGTATAAGACGCATCCCGTTTTTCAGATCTATTTTCAAAGAAAAAAGTGCGTCTTATACGCCGGCAAATACAGTAGATGATATTTTAAATATGGTATTGACAACACTTACCTGGGTTCATAGAAAGCCGAAGGAAGTGCGAGCTTGGACCCGTACCACTGAGGCAAACCTCCGATGAAGACCGCCCCGTTCGTGGTAGCGTTGCCGAAGAGGTAGTCGGGACCGGCGGTGAGGCGTTTTTGGACATCATCGTCGACAGTCAGTATAGTCTCTTCTGCATTACGGGTGATCTGCGGACGAAAGGAAATGGACATGACTGTACTGTGGAAAAAGATATATGCTTTCTGTCAATAAATTTTAACATAAATTACTTTTCGCTGCATTAGCTTTTTCCGTAACCAGCTACCTAAAATGATTAACATCAAGCAACGAAGAATCTGCATGTATATATGCATGCTCATGCGCATGTATGCATATATGCATGTATGTATATATATCACATATGTATATATGCATGCTCGTCGTATGAGGGAAATCTGTTGCACCTAGAGACATCAAATAATGAACACGTATCTTCCTGTACCTAAACCTGCGTATCAGAATTTAGAACTTCCCATCTCTTGCTTACTAATTTCTATTTCGAGCGAAATTATTGAAATTTTGTTTCATAAACTCAGCGATTTAGAAAAAAAATGTCTGAAAGGTCTTAGATCTTAAGGGTAGCGCAGAAGGGTTTGTTAAGGTTTTTTGCGCACTCGCTGAGCTCGCAGTCTACTAGTCTTTGGTTACACTCACTCCTACTTACCCATTTTTTTTAACCCAAAGGGCGTTAGCCCACATGGGTTATTAATTTCATTTTGGCATTTTGCGTTGGTTCGCTATAATTGTCTGAATTACTTTTCAAATTGTTGCCACAAAATATTATATTTAAAGAAATTAAAAACGAAAAAATGTATGTATGTATGCTTCTCGCATTGTGAAAAAAAAACGGAACATCAAATTTTGAATAATCTTGTCCTCCACTCGAATATGGGCATCTGGAATAACGAATTTGGAATTCGTTTTGTTTTCTATTTCATATTTTGTATAACATTAACGAATTTTTTATTAACAAACTCAAAGATTTCAAAGCGTTCCATTCACAGTAACATCGGGTGCATCTTGAAGCACGGATATTTTATGCGCGAAGGTGTTTTTTAGTCCAAAGAAGCAATTTGCCCTGAATGATTATTTTCAATAGTCATTATAAATTTTGAAAAAATAATTATAAATAATCATTATAAAATTTTTCACTATAAACTTTGGAAACTATAAACGGCGAATTACTTTTCAAATTTTTGCCACCAAGTATTACCGTTCTATATTATGTTTAAAGAAATTAAATAATGAAGAATGTGCATGAACGTATGTATATTTCTCGCATTGTGATAACACAACAGTACCTAGAGCCATCAAAATTTGAATAACGTAATCTTCCATAGAATACGGGCATATGGAAGCCCAAATTTGAATTGGAAATTTGTTTTATTATCGATTTCATATTTTATAACACTTCAACGAATTTTTGATTAACAAACTCAACAATTTCAAATCGAGCAATGGCAATACTGTATTGGGGGGGGGAACATTTTTATCTCTATCGCGTTGAGACTGGGTATCGAAAATCCTAAAGATAGGCTCCTTTTAAAATTATTTTGCGATATTGCTGTTGAACTGAATTTCCTGGTTTAAGTGCGAAGAATATGATATTTAATAAATAAAAATAACACACAAAAAGTTAAAAAAACGAGTCTTTGGGCGTAATGTAAAAAGTTTCAATCTGAAAGCTTTCAGATTTGTTTAATTATTTATTTATTGCCTTTTAACTTCTTTATTAGTAATCACCCTTTTCATAGAACTTAACGCCATATACAATTCAACAGCAAAATTACAAAAAAAAAAAAAAAAAATTAACAGGGACAACGTTTAGATTTCCCGATGAAGTGTTAAGTGCCCGGATACATTTCTCTGCTTTTTTCATTGTTTTCATAGTTTATAATATCAGTGTTCAGTTCTCTTAGTATGATAACTTACAAAATATTTTTGCCTTTTAATTACCAACGTTTCGGGTGTCAACTGTATTTGTTAAATATCACGTTCTTCGCACTTACGCCACAGAGGCAAAATCATAATATATTTAAAAGCAGCATATCTTTGTAACTTCCTATAAACAGTCTCGCGCGCTGGAAATAAAAATGTTTCATTCCTTACAGTGTTGAAACTGTTTGCTTTCAAATCGTTGAGTTTGTTCAGATTCAATCAAAAGTCAGTAAAGTTTTACAAAATATGAAATAGATAACAAAAAAAAAAAAAAAAAAGAAAGAAAGAAAGAGAAATATGTTGCTATTCGGCAAAGCGCAAGGTATGTATGTTTTAGTAATCAATAAAGTTTGAGATTTAAAATGAATATGCTGCCATTGCCAAAATTAAATATTTTTTCTATGTCCCTCGTGTGTTACCATTCAGGGAAACGTAAGGTACGTAATTTAGACTCGAAACTTAACCTCTCCGTCCATGAACAGAAAATTTAGAGACTGGAATGTACTAAACGCAGTTCTTCACTTGTCTCACAATCTCTGTGTGGATATTTTCTTTTTTGCAATAATGATATAACGCGGCTGGCTACGCGAGCGGTTAGTCATAAAACAGAAAAAGCACATAAATGAGTCCACTTAGTGCAACTTCGCGAATCCACATAGTAATCTATATATAAACAAGAAAGTCTGTGTGTGTGTGTTTGCTCGCTAATAACTCCATCACTACTATTGCTATCGTCACCAAGCTTTATATAGTTCTTTTCTGGGTCTTGGAAAAATTCAACGTCCAGTTTCAAAACGAAATCTTGCTAAAATCAGAGACATTAATTAAAATAATTTTTTCCGAGTGGTGGAGTCTCCACTCCACGCACACTGGACATGAAAATCTGCTTTATTTCAAGAAATGTTGCCACTGCTCGCATTTGTTAATAAAAAGGTTCTAAGTTTTAAAATGAAATAAAAATAGCATTGCCAAACATTAAATACATTATTCCCAATTCTAAAAATTTGTGGAAAGCCATTTCGACTGTTCGCATCTTTCGTACGATTTTAATCAGCCGAGATAGTAATTAAAAATTCAGAAAACACTCATTTTTCCAAGTGGCAACAGTCTCGCTTGTTGGAGATAAAAATGATCTATATTGAAAAGTGTTGCTACTGTTCGCTTTGAAATCGTAGAGTCTGTTAATCAAACATTTTTGAGTTTTACGAAATCTATGTATAAGAAGAATGTGTGTTTGTTTGTTCACGTTATTGATTTCCGATCAATCATGAAAAATGTTTTGCCACATTGAATCGACTAAATTTGAATATAGGTGAAACATTAGATGGAACTTGAGGTCTTATGACCATCTGATTAGAAAGACGAAAATCACTAAAACATTTGTGCCATTGTTGCTTATATAATGAAAGAGAATTAGTTTATTTTTCTATGGAAACCTTTTATGCGGGTCCATATCGCATCAGACTGAAAATCATCATGACTGACTTCATCAGACTGAATGTATGACTCTGAATCGTATTTTTTTTCATCTTATTAGAGAAGGATTACAGCGGTATGGTTCTCTCTGTTGTTAGATACACTATTCTCAATCTAACTTTACTGGCATCGGGTTTTTCCGTTAGTTAATAATAATACAGATAAAGAACTGCATTTATTTCATTAAATTGCTTTCTTTGGTAATTAATAACAGGTAGATTAAATTGGAAAGAAAAATCAAATATTGTACTCCTTGCCAAATGGCAATATACTGGCACCTGGCAGATGAAAATAATTTCTCTTCGGGTAATAGAAACGCATTTCTTTTAAAGCACTGAGTTTCTTAATGAAGATTTAACTAAATTAACATAAAGAATAAATAAAGAAAAAAACAACTCGAAATTGAAAATTCGGGCTTCTCATTTTGCATCTCATCCCGTTCGGTACGAGATATAACCTCATGTTTCGGTTAAGGTTTTTATGTGTTTAGTTAATCAGTACGCAATAGTTCTAGAATTATCCACAATTTGAAATTTTAAGTCATGCTAGGCCTAACGAGGTTGCTTATTTTTGCGTAAAAGCTGTAATTTCAATTGTCAAAATGGTGTTTTAACTTTTTAAATGTATATGGTGTATTAGCGTTTTCTGTATTTCACAATTTTCTAATGAAGATGTTCTGAGTTTTTATGTATTTTTGCCTTGCCACGAAGTGAGACTGAAATGAGATATATATCTAAATTCGATGAAAAAAGTTTAAATGAAACTCAGGTGAAAATATATGTAATTTAATAGGCCGTACAAGGAAGTCAGTTGATGTCCACATCAGATACTTTTTACCATAACATGTTGTGTAAAACTGGAGCTGGTTAAGCATCTTAATGAAACGGAAGGATGTGATTTGTTTCCTAAACTGTACAATCTCATTCTTCAGGAATTTGTTACACAACAGCTTAAAATCTGCGGACATTTTATTTTAAAATAGATTATTTATTCTCCTGAGTAGTTCAACACCAGAATGTAAATGAATATTTCGAAAATCAAGTTCTCAGCCGCTGGCAACAGTAGAATACTTAATGGGTCTTATGATAGAAACTGATTAAAAGAAATAAAATGCATCACGTGACTGTCTTACGTGGTTTATGCGGTAAATAATATGAACGACTTTATTTGGATCGCATAAAGTGATTAATTAAATTCTTGGTTCTAGTCTTTTAACGGTTACCTTTTTAAACCGTAAAGATAGATTTCGGGAAAATTGTTTTGGTAAACAGCCAGTTGTGAAAAATAACGATTTTTCTCTATTCACTCCGTAGGCAATCTGAGCAAGTGGGCAAATAATAAAACATGCATGACTAGCTTATTTAGTTCGTTATTACATGCAAGACAAAAGGGACATTAGCCCGGAATGGGCTACTAATCTGGATCCGGCATTTTGTGTTGAATCATTATAAACGGCTTATCACTTTTCAAATTATTTCAAATTGTTGCTACCAAATATTATCGCTCTGTATTATACTTAAAGATATTAAATAACGAAGAATCTGCAGGAATGTATGCATTTCTCTCCCACTGTGAAAAACTACGATACCGACAGCCACCAAATTTTGAATAATGTAGTTCGCCACCCGAGATGGGCAACTAAAAGCCCAATTTTTGGATTTCGAATTTGTGTCATTATCTATTTTGCATTTTGTAATTAACGAATTCTTGATTAACAAACTCAGCGATTTGAAAGAGGGCATTGGCAACACTGTACGAAAAAAAAATCATCTCCAGCGCGAGTCTATCTATCTGAAATTCTAAAGATATGCTGTTTTTACATATTTTGTGATTTTGCCGTTGAATCGAATTTTAGGCGGCGTAAAAGCCATGAACGTTATATTTGATAAATAAAGTAAACATACAGAACATTAATAAAAAGACAAAAAAATTTACGAAGCCGTCTTAGTACTAAAACTGAATGTTGATATGAAAAACTGAGAAGAGACTGAAAAACACAATAAAATTTATGTCCACACTTAACGCTGCAATAGAAATTCTAAACGTATATTGGTATGATGTTTTTAAAAATATTTGTAATTTTGTTCCTGAATTATAAATGGTGTAATCGCAAAGAAAATGATGTTTACTAATAAAGGTAAAATAACAATAATAAAGCTAAAATAATATTAATAATAAAGGTAAAATTTTTTTATTCATTGTTGAAACATTTTTTGTCAATTTTGCAGACATAATCTTCATTATTAGACGCATTAACATTTTTGATTATTAGACATCTGAATTATCTCGATCTATGGATGGGGACAATTAATTAAAACTTATACTTGGTTTGTTAATATTTCAGTTTGCTTCAATAATTTCATCAGAAGGTGTTTCTTCGAAATTATTGCCATCGTTATTTGGCGATTGCGTACGAAAAGTAATTAATTCATCTAAAGATATATCTGAAACTCTTTTAATGTTATCCTCCACAATGCGTGAGATTAAATCATTTTTATTTCCTTTAAACGAAAGTTTTCTGAAGCGCAATTCCGTTTTCGTTTCGATAGTTCTAGATAAAACTATTCGACAGCTAAAATGACAAAGAGGTTGCTCCCCTAAAGAAATCAAAACAGTATTTATGACTGTTGACATTCTGTTTGTTCACAAAGTTTTTAGGAGCGAAGTGAGTGAGTATTATTTATCAAAGAAATGTTACATTTGAAAATTTTAAGAAAAACAATAATATTGTAATAATTACTAAAACGGTCTTAACTCGGATCAGACTTAAACGAAAGATGAAAACTTCTTCATAAATATTCGTAACCAAATTCTATAGAGTTCATCAGAAACCATTGAAGAAGAAATGGCGACTCGACGCACTATTTAGAAGTTTTTGCGAAAGAATTCCAACTACTATTTTCTGTTATTTATTTATTTTTAGATATCGGCTGCGCCATATATAAGGAATTAGTAAAGACTGAAGTAATAATGGAATTTACAAATTAAGTTCTTTAGAATTTATTTATTAAAATGCAAGCGAAGATTATATGGATCGACGATATTATTTTATTTTTCTAACAAAAAACTACTGTTACCACAAATATTCAAATAAATACTTTTTTTTAGTCCAAAGGGAGGAGAGTCTCTGAGGGACAATTGTTTTCGTTCCGCGATTTTGCGTCGGATCACTCTGAATTTTCACTTTTCACACTGCTGCCACCAAATATTATCGCCCTATATTATATTTGAAGATATTAAGTAATGAAGAATCTGCATAAATGTGGAGATCATCGACGACCAATGTTGAATTAGAATAACGAGAGAGGTGACGTCATCCCAGCTTAGCGCAGAGCGGAGCAGTTAAGACAAGGCCAGATAGCGTCCAGACGTGGAAGAAAGTGGAGAGTAGCAGATGCAAGCGGATGGCTTGCTTGTCCTCAAGAGTTGAAGGAGACAGACGGTCTTCTTTCGTGTTTAAGTGCCTTTGATCCTTAAGCCAAGCCTATCATATTATTTAACGCTAGCTGTGGATGTTAAGGGGTATCAGAAATCCCCTATGTTAAATTGTTATGTTAAATCCTATGTTAAATTGGCCATTTTCGATGTACCTTTTCTCAAAATCTGCTGTAGACACACGCTTCAAATTTTTTGTGTGATTAAAATATACCTATCTGATTATACTGAAATCAGCTTTTGAAACATTTTGAATTTTAGAGTAATTTACAGAATATTTTGTTAGGCATAGTGAAATTTAGCACTTTTCTCACACAAAAAACTTTTAAATTTTTTATTCTAAATTTATCACAAAAAGCTCATTTCAGTAAATATTAGGAAACCTAATAAATAAGCGATAAAAAATTTAGAAACCTGTAAGCAGTAGTTCCTGAGAAAAGGCACATCAAGTATAAAAAAATCACGTTTGGAGAAAAACGCGTTTTAATGCAAAAATCCTCATTGATCAAAGCAGTCGATGACATATTAAAAACTAGATTTTTTTTACAGTTCTAATTTTCATAGACATTAAAGAATGGTGTTTAGAAAGATAAAAGTGTAGAGAATTTTAAAATGCAAAAATTCGAAATCACAATTTTTTGAAGATTTTGTTGTTCCAACACCCCTTAAGAGGATAACGTATTCTATCAACGCCGGTGGAACTAATAGTGTGTGTGAATTGCTCATCATTACATGAATCTTGTGTGGACTGATCAGGACATTCCCTGCAATATTAATTTTTACTTTACTTACCTTTTATTACTTTTATCTATTTCTTATTAGTAAAATAAAAGCATATAACAATGCAATATCAGTGCTATCCGTGAGTATTTTGAAAGTAAACCCTACATAAATGTATGTATGTTTCTCACATTATGATAAAACAACGGTATCTAGAGCCATCCAATTTTGAATGACATAATCTTACTGCGAATATGGGCATCTGGAAGCCCAAATTTGGAATTTGTTTTATTATCGATTTCATATTTTGTAAATTTTAATTAACCATTTCAGAGCGAGCAATAGCAACACTGTACGGAAACAAAAAACATTTTTATCTCCAACGAGCGAGACTGTGTATCAGAAATTCTAAAAATAAGCTCTTTTTTAATTTTCTGTGATATTGCTGTTAAATTGAATTTTATGTTTAAGTGAGAAGAACATGATATTTATAAATAAAGGAAACGCACAAAATGTTAAAAAAAAGGGTCTCTTTGGGCGTAATATAAAATCTGAAAACTTTCAGTTTTTTTAATTATCATTATTTTATTTTTTATTGATTAATTTATTAACATATTCTTTATTTTATCTTTTTTCATGAATCTGCTCTGTATGAAAAACGGGAGGAAATATTAATGTCAACGTAGCATGTGTACATCGGTGTTATTCTTGTCAGTATGGGTTTTTATCAGCAACGGCTAATATCAATATGGCCTTTTATCTGCGTGAGATTTTATCAACGTGCGCTTTCGTTAGTGTTGGTTTTTATCGCGTGGGCAATTATCACAGTGTGGGTTTTTTTGTGGGCTTGTGTGGAGTTCGCTTTCGCCCAGTGGGCTTTTGGCTGGTCACCATAAACGCTGCACTTACATATATAAAATTTCGTTGATTCTGGCAAATTTTTCTTGGTGCGTACGTTTTTTATGACATTGGGTGTATCTATGCTGTCTTGTGTTCAGATTTCACTGAGAAAAGTTTCTTAAAGATGCCCGGGTTCGATATTCCGGAGAAGTCATGGACTGTAATTTGTCCGTCCCCTTCATAGGAGACAACAGTGGCCCACCTATTACGTGCCTCCACATTAAAGAGACTACCTGCCTTAGTAGTGGTCCACGCCTATAAACGACTGGAGCCCTCCATTGAAGGGGGGATTTCTGGCAGTTTTTTATTCTACGACGCTTTTCTAAGTATGAAATATATTGCAATATATAACTTACCTTCAATGTGTGCCATTGACTGTCATGCAGATTCTTCCCAGCAGAGATGATGGCAGCGCCACCGCCAAGGTTGAACCTCAACCTCGCATTCCCTTCGACGAGCTTCACCTCGAAGAAATCGAAGGTGCTGCCATCGTCGGTGTACAGGAGGAGTCCGTTGGGTTCCCGGGTCCGGAACCTCAAGGAAAGAGTGCCGTTGAGACCAGCGTGCCACCTCGGGAATTGCGCAAAGGAAGTAGGGGAGCCATCTAGGATGAAGGCGTCCGAGAAGATGTTCGACAGCTGGTGGACGAGGAACAACTGCAGCAACAGGCTCTGAGGCTTCCAAACAAAACAAAAAGGCAAGATCTTGCAACGAAAGCGCCTCCAGTCCATTCTGGGTAAACGGAATTTAGCAGCGAAGGTCTGTGAGGTCGATCACCAGCATTCTGCAAAAGGAAGGGACAAAAGCTATTAAGTTTCAAGACCCGTATAATCAACTGTTAGTTTTTACTACAAACTACGTCCACAATATTCCTTACCCTGCCTTTATTTTCGCACCGTTAATGGTAAACATATACTACCAATCACGAAAGTATTTTAAATGGCGCGGATATACGTGTAAGAAAAATAAAAAATATGTAAAAGATAAAATTAGCAAGGTAAATTTCCCTTCTCAATTCTAAAAATAGTAACCTCTCTCTGGACTGCGTCATTTCTAGATTAATCCATGTCATATGACTCTTACATAATTCTGGTCATGTAAATGGAACTAAAACTCAAGCAGCCAATAGTAATTTTACAGAAATATTAACTATCCAATCAAAATGCATATATAAAATTTCGTTGATTCTGGCAAATCTAAACTAACTCAGTCTGAATAAAGATTTCATCCTGAACATTACGCACTTGGCTTTCTACACTTTGGTCTAGCTGGACTGTTGTCTGTCCGCTCCTTATATCTTACTGCAAATTTATCTAAAATGTAAACTTTTCGGAATAGGCACAATTAATGCGCCAATTTCACTGTGGCCTCAACGTGTTTGCTGAAATAAAAAAATGAAGATTTAATCTGCCTTCGCCTCCAATTTTCTATTCATTATGGATCAACACTTCTACGCCATCAAAATTTCGGCTAGTTCGTTATTTCTAATTTCGTTTTTATTGCATACATTTCTGCAATTTTTAATTTAAAAAAATAAATTTTGTAAAATGTGAAACATTTTGTAAATGTGATTTGTAAATATGTGATTTTTCGTTAGGGCCTTAATTTCATCTTTATTATCTGTATAAGTAAAGAAGAGTGTCCATTTGTTTAGCGTTCATACATATCTACAGTTTTATTCGGAACTTAATGAAATTTGGCACACTTCGAACAAGAGAAAGATCATTATTTACGTGAGATTTCTCAAAATTCATGAGATACTGCACTTTACATACATTTAATTACATAGTTAATTTAATGAACATTCGATTAAAAACGCAGAGATTCAAAAGCTTTGTGTTACCACTTCGCAAATATTTCTATTTCCAGATTTAATCAGAAAACTTGGGGATATAAAAGAACTGGGTTGCCATTCGGGAAACCGAATATATTTATTTGTCTTTTGATGATCAACAAACTGTACGATTCATACATTCATGCAGATTCCTCATTATTTAGTTTATTTAAATATAATTAGATCGTGATAATATTTGGTGGCAAAACTTTGAAATCTGTTACGCCGTTTACAGTGATTCAACACAAAATGCCGTTTCTAAACAAATATTCCATTCGAAACTAACGTTCTTTTTGGCTAATAAAGAAGAAATCCTCAGAAAATGAATGGTTTAATTTATTGTAATCAAGAACTTAGTCAAAATTGTGAATTTATCTGGAAAAATTTAAAATGTAACAAAAAACAAAATCTGAAAGCACATTACATTACGCCCAAAAGGGCGTTTCTTTAACGTATTGTGCATTACATTCATTTATTAAATATCATGTTCTTCGCACATAAAATTCAATTCAACAGCAATATCGCAGAATAATTTTAAAATGAGCCTGTCTTTAGAATTCCCGATACACAGTCTCCCAAGCTTGAGATTAAAATGTTTTTTCTGTACAACGTTGCCATTTCTCGCTTTGAAATCATTGAGTTTGTTAATCAAATATTCGTCGAAGTGTTACAAAATATGAAAACGATAATAAAACGAATTTCAAATTCTAAATTCGGGCTTCCAGATACCCATATTTGGGTGGAAACGTATGTTATTCAAAATTCGATGGTTCTAGGTACTGCTGTTTTATCACAGTGAGAGAAACATACATACATTTATGGAGATTCTTCATTATTTATTTAATTTCTTTAAATATAACAGAAGGCTCTAATATCTGGTGGCAACTATTTTGGAAACTGAACCGACAGTTATAGTGAATCAACGTTAAATGCCAAAACAAAATTAATAGTCCTGCAGGGCCAATTGAGCCTTTGGACTAAAAATAATTTAATTGTAGCAGAATTCAATGGAAAAAGACTAAAGGGATGACTTTCTTAGAGGAATTAGCTCTTCTCGATAAAAAAAAAATAAAAAAAAAAAAAAAAAAAACTCCAGTAATTATATTGATGTGATCGTGTTTCGCTCCTTTCGTATATTTCAATGAAATTCAATCCAATTTGATTAATTCAATTTTTTTCAAATAGACAAAAGAAATTCCCAGAAATTATCATATCTGAACAAAAAATGGCTAAAATCTGAATGTGGGTCAAAAAACTGTGAAAACCGATTGTCGATCGAAACACTTGAACAAAAATTACGCAAAAAGTTAAAATTAATTAATTTCATAAAACAATACAAACATTTATAAATGTAATACTGGAAATATTAGTTCTATGACACAGGCAATTACAAATATAACAAAGTTTTAACTTTAAATTCACAATGTTTTAGCCCAAAATGGGCATAAGTACCGTATTGGATGGCTCTAGATACCGTTCTTTTTTCCTAATCCGAGAAACATGTAAATACACGTGATTCTCGCATGTCTGCAATTATCTCGCATTGTGGGAAAAACGATGGTGCTAGAGCCATAAAACTTTGAATAACGTAGTCCTCCACCCGAATGCAGGCACCTGGAAAACCAAATTTTGAATTTTGAATTTGTTTTATTATCTATTTCATTTTTTGTAAAACTTTAAAAAGATTTTATTTACAAACTCAATGATTTCAGATGTAGCAATGAAAATACTACAGGGAATAAAGCATATTTATCTTTAGCACGTGAGATTGTCACTCAGAAATTCTAAAGATATGCTACTTTTAATTATTTTATTATTTTGCTGTTGAAACTAATTTCATGTGGCGTAAGTGCCAAAAGTACGTGATATTTAATAAATAAAGTAAATGTACAAAACGTTACCAATGAAGAAACAAAAAAGTTTTTAAAGCGATTTCAGTAAAAAAAACTGAGCGTTGATATGATGAACCCAGAAAAGATTGGAAAAAAAATGTATGCCGACGCTTAACTCTGCATCGGTAATTCTAAACGTACGTATATTGTTATGCTTCTTTTATGATTTTTGCAATTTTGCTGTTGAGTTCTGTATGGCGTAAGTGCGGAGAAAATGATGCTTAATAATAAAACTAAAAAAACAACAAAAATGAGTTAGTAGGAGCGAATGTAACAACAGACTGGTAGACAGCGAGCTAAACGAGAGCGTAAAAGAGCCTTAACAAATCCTTCTGGGTGACAGTTAAAATTTGAAACCTTTCCGATTTTTTTTAATTTACTTGCAATATTAGTTAAACTTCACTGTAATGTCAGCGATTTTTCTAAACCAAACGCTGTTGTAGCATCATTCTCCGATTGTTGCAGCCTGTAAGAGTTATCATATTAGATGGCTTGGAAACGTTTCATTTGGCTTACGAATTCTAGCCTCTCTATTAGTGGATTCCGATTTGGTGATATAAACTTGAAAACTGACAAAGAATAATTAATTTTTAGTAAGTGGGTTCGGACTAGAGAGAAAAGTTCCCTCTAAAAACACGAGACAGTGAATTAATATATATATATATATTTAAGACATAAAATAACATATATATAAGACATAATATAATATATAATATATATATATATATATATATAAACATAAAAACTTAACAGAAGGAAAAGAATGTCTTTAAATTTGTTACAATGTAACTTGTGATATTAAGCTAATATGTCTACAAGTAAACAACATTAGTCGTTTTAAAAATAAGAGTTTAACTGCAATCATGTTTGAAAGTCCGTATGTTAAAGATTAATGATTGTGACTTCTCTCATCCGCTTGGGAAAAATAAATTCTTTTGACAAAGAGTTTCTAAACTTTAATCCGCGTGTTATTTGGAAGAAATGTTTCATTGGAATTACGATGACAAAGTGAGAAAAGTTAAAAGGCCCTTCCAAACCAATTGGTAAATCGTCTCAAATGGTGTAGAAGTGAAAGCTTTTAAAGCAATGGCTTTTCATCTGTGTACTTAAGTGTATTTGGGTAATGCGAAGATTTCCCAAGTGGTCGTAAAGAATTTGTAGAGAAGTTTCCAAATTTCTTATGTTGATTATTCTCTAGTTTGGGTGCGAAAAACTCTTTAAGTAATGAAGATTATTCGATCGAATCGAAAACATTCGATTGCAATGCAACGTATTGGTCAACGTGTTAGTCCACTTTCAAAAGAAGAGCTTTCTTGTACGAAGTAAAGGAAGGATTGTAATCACGATTATTTCCGGGTATCATATTTCAAGTAAAATATACAATTTAACGATGTTTTTGCGTGATATCTGTGCGTAATAACAAAATAAAAGATTCTTTTTTCCCCAAACGGTTTATAAAATTAATTTAAAATGGATTCAGAAGAGATTTTTTTTTTCATGACATCTGTACCTACGTACGTACATATGTGTGAATGTATGTATGTATCTCGCATAACTCAAAAACGAATAGCCTGAGAACGTTGAAATTTTGTATATAGGACTGGTATAATGTGTAGTTGTGCACCTTCCTCTTTGGTTGCAATTGGCCTCACCAAAAAGCTTATAATTATATATATATACCCACTGTTACTCGGCTTGGTAAACTCAGTTATTTTGAATCTTATGTGTTGGTAAATTGCGCATTTTTTGCTTTCAAAATGACTGAATTATTCTTACCTTCCGGTTCAGGTTTTTATGCCTATAGTTAATCTGCACGCAATATTTGTAAAATTATGCACAATTTATAAGTCGTTTAAGTGCGGCTACGCCTAATTTATTTTTACCCTAGCAGCCATATTCGTTTTCATTTGAAACTTAGGAGAATAGTGAATTAAGTCAGCTGCTGCAGCTTCAGTGTCTTCTTACGAAGTGGGAACAAAAGTAAATTTTCAGTTTTGAGCACCGAAAAATCCGCCTCCTTGCCTGTTGGCCGAATTGCTTTTTTTTTTTTTTTTTTTTT